GATTTCATTTCAGCTTTAATAAATGGAAAGTCTGGTTTCCAAAGATTTTGAAAAACCTTCTTTCTTGCCAGAATAAAATTGAAATCCTAGTAGCTCTAAAATGCTATGCCCATGTAACTGTGCGAGGTTTATACATTTCATATCAGCTCCTACTTCACCAAAGAAATAATTCTAAACCAGATCATAACGTCCTTTCACTATATCCATCCTATACATGTTGGTGTACAATATAGCCAAAATTGCTTATTTCGGAATCACTTTGTAAATGTGAAAACTTCACACAACTTTTAACCAGAGAACAAGCCAAAAGAACTACAATTCATTCCCCTAGTTACCCTCGTCTGGATGAAGGGAATCATAAGCCACGCATGAATTGTTGCCAAGAAAACTTCACAAACATGTCCATGCAGTCAGCAAGAGTCAAGCTCCAGCTGAGAAATTTTTTTAGATAGCCTAGCATTCAAAAGAGAAAGCAAAATAATATGCAGGCATGAAAACAACTGAGCCAAAGATATGTTTTTCACCATCCATGCAGAATCTGCTTTTGAAAAGACCAAGAAAGACAACTGTATATGTGTAGAATATACCAGTGAAGGCAAATCTTGTACAGATCCATAGGTGGGGAAAATCTCTATAGAAACTTAGCTCAGGTAGAAAACCAGAAGGAATTAATGCAACAGCGATTCCTAAAGCAGACTGGTAGAAACAAAACGTATCTTTAAACTATGACCTGCAGTAACTTTTGCAGAGAAATCAAATGTGTGCTAAAGCTGAGTGGGTTTTGTTCATGATCAGATACAGGTGACTGGGTATTGTTTGAGTTTCAAAGCACAAGCTCCCCCCCCTCCCAAACCAATAAGGCATTTCTCACCACTAATCATGTTTGGTTGAATTACTGGCAGTTGGAAGTTCTGCAGTGACTGAAGCATTTTAAGTTCTCCATTTCCATGCCTTATGGGGAGAGATTGAAAGAATCAACTATCGGGCACTTCCACACTGGACCCCTAAGCTGTTACAATTCTGCGCTAATGATGGCTGGACTTAAACCATCTTAGAAAATTCTTTCAGATTGGGCTGCTTGACCAGCAGGCTTGCAGTACAGCCCTCCACTAAAAATCCCCCTGCTGTTCTGCCTTCCCCAAAGTTTTGTAACAAGAAAGCAACCCCAATCCAATCTGTGTGTCTGTGAGTGTCATTCTGTACATATGTGCTTTTGAGAAATAGTTTGCATTTAAAAGTTTAAGCATTTTTTTAATGATGCTGCAGGATGGCAAACATACCATTTCCTTCCCTTGGGTGAAGGGAAATTCCTGCCACTACGCTCAATGCACAGTTTTCCTAGAAAAAATTAAAACACAGCAAAATAAATCAAAATACAGTTTAAGCTACCAGAAGCTGGAAAATACCATTTGAAATATGGTGCAAGAAAATACAGGTAGAAGTGCAAATGGGACAAGTAAAAGACGGTATCATCCATTCTTCTCTTCCAGAAAAGGTTGGTGGCCCACACTCACAACAAGACAGCCTAACAGTGTAGATATGTACAGAATTTAGCTAGAAAAGATAATTCTTATGGGTGACATAACGCTTCGGATACTACAATGGTCACATGCAGAAGTTGAAAAAACTTTTCTCAGCTGCCTCAGATGGCATGATTAGATTAAGCAAACTTCAAATTCAGAAAAATACCAGTTTTCAGCTGATCAGGAGGAACTTCTTAAGAATAAAAGAAGCTGGATAATACAGACAGTCCTCAACTTACAACAGTTCATTTAATGACCGTTTGAAGTTACAACGGCACCGAAAAAAGTGACTTATCACCGTTTTTCCACACTTACAACTCATGGTCAGGTGATCAAAATTCAGACGCTTGGCAACTGACTCATATTTGTGACGGTTGTGGCGTCCCCTGTTCATGTGTTCATCTTTTGAGACCTTCTGATAAGCAAAGTCAATGGGGAAGCCAGATTCACTTAACAACCCTATTACTAATTTAACAACTGCAGTGATTCACTTAACTGTGACAAGAAAGGTTGTAAAATGGGGCAAAAGTCACTTAACAAATGTTTCATTTAGCAACAGAAACTTTGGGGTTAATTGTGGTCATAAGTCGAGGACTACCTATAAATCAGAAACTAGGGAGTTTGTGTTGTAGACTCTACTTTGCTATAAATGTTCAGCTCATTAGTGAAAATGCTTCTGTTCTGGATTCCCTAAATTAAACAGAAAAGTGGTCTTTTGGCATTCATGCAATTTTCTTAGAAACAATCAGGACAATATCTGGGGTGGGGGGGGATTCTTAATTTTTAAAAACTTCCTGTTCTGGTTTATAACTGCTATATACCAAGCAGAGACAATTCAGTCAAGATCAATTGACAAACTCTGTATCACTTCCATATATATATTCTCTATTAGGTCATTCCATCCCACTTTCTCATTTTTCCAAAATGTTTTTCATTTAATTTAAGTATATATTTAAATAGAGCCTCAAGTTAGTCTGATGCTTTGAGCCAAGAACTGTTCTGGAATATTCAAAAAGTATACAAATCAATTGTTAATTAAATTCTGATAGACATGTAAGTCCATGAAGTCACAACACCCAGTGGTCAAATATTCAGGCATGTTTTGGTAGCTATGATGTTTTTTTGTTTTTTTTTGCTCATCAGATTTCCCAGCAACACAAGGAGATAAATTATCAGTTCCTTCTAAATGAATTTCAACTTTCATTCTCTCTCAATCTGAAACAAAATAACAATCATTTTCATAATTAAGCTCTATTAATGTTTCTGTATTGAACAGAAAAGAGACGAAGGACATGATGTAAAAAAACCTTCTTTCAAATGCAGAAACACCTACAGGTTTTTTAGATGAAAAATCTTTACATGCTGAATTCTGGTGAACAGAGAAAAAGGGGGGGGGGGGGGGGGGGGGGGGTGTCAAGATAATCCTGTACAACAGGATTCCTTAACAAGAAAAATGAGCTAGTGACATACTAACTTGTAATTAGTATAGAAAAGTTGTGATGCTTTCCAGCAAACATGTTTTTTTTTAATGGTTGCCAATGACAGAGACAGAAAGTGCACCACAGTACTCTAATCACTTTCATTTCAATAGAGTTTGCATTGGATTCTCCGCAAAATCAAGACAATGTTCACCTACTGTACTAAATTATCTGGCTCGTTCAGTTTAGTGTGTTATATGAACCCAGCTACTGCACCCTATACATATTAGCTAAACAGGTTGCATGAAGCCAATTGTAGTTTATTTCATAAAGCACTATAATGCAAATCGTAGATTATCGTATGAAACTAGTCCTAGGAGTATGTTACCTGAAATAATAATATCACTGATTCTACGATTAGTTCGATACCCCAGGAATCTTAAGATAAAAGTATGCACTACATGCTTAAGTCAACTTTTGCCTGAAGACTGCTTTCATCCTCATCTTAACATAATGAACTTGAGTGATTAGGTCAAGTCAGCTTAGTTAAGTCCAGCTTATTTCCCACTGACATGGAACAGATGCTCTCGGAAGCCCTTAGGCCTAGGGCTAAGGTCCTATCAATCTGTATCTATTACAGAAGCTGTGATTGGATTGATGGTCAAGTAGCAAAGCAGAAAAACATGGATAGCGCAGAAAAGAAGACAGAATGTTCTAAGATCTGTTTGGGATAGAGGCTGGTTGCTAGCCTTAATTATCTTGTATAAATTCCACAAACAGCTTTGCTAAATCAATCCAACCCCAGCATGCCAGTAGAATAGCTGCTAAGTAAATCTATTCCCAGCACATAGCTTGCCATCTAAATAATGTTATCTTGATTTCCGGTTTAGCTGAACTTTTTCGTTGTTGTTGTTTCTTGCATATTTGTAGAACGCTGTATTAGGCTTTAGACATGTTGCCCCCCCCCTTCAAAACACTTTCATAGAGGATCATTTTTGCACACTCCTCTTTGCCGTGTGTTTGCATCTTCGACACAATTCTCTACCTACCCACTTCCTCTTATTTCACGTCCTTCCATTTTTTTTTCTGCTCAAGTGAAAAATGATTCATCCACAAACTACACGCTCTCTTTTGCTATTTTCCAGTTTGAATGGTTTAAAAAAAGCCTTCACAAAAACCTTTCCATACATGCTGCAGTTTATGCAAGGCCCAAGAAAATGACAGTCTGTAACAAAAAAAGAACGATTTCAAATGAGAAAACGATTCCTCCTATCTACCTATTTACTGTCAGGGAAAGCAAAGCCACGTTTGGTAAGGTTTTTCTTCTCTGGACAATTCAGAATTAGGGTAACTTGTTGCCTCCTTTCTTCTCTGAACTACAGTCTCCATAAACTATTCTCTCTAAGCCTTTTTTATCTAACCATTTCCTTATAATCCAACATTGTACAACCTTATCTGTATCTGGAACCTCGGAACAGCTTTGCCACAAGTCAGCTCTGTCCAACTGTTTGTCCTTCTACAATCTACTCAATCCACCGCTTTAAATATACGAATTACTTTGTCTCACTTCCTTGTGATCCTGTCCCTTGGTCAGTTTCCTTAGTTTCCCTCTTTCCACATATTCTCCCACACTGGAAAGTATCTCTAGAACTCTTTATCTCACAAGTTCCTTTCTTGTCTCTTCCTCCATTTCCCCTTTCTCCAGGTTCCCTTTTCTTGCAAGTCAGCAAGTTTTCTCTGAGACGATAGTTCCTTAGGGTCTCCATATTTCGTATGATTTCCTTGAGAAAATTATCTTGAGCCTCAGGCTTAGCTGCAGTGGTGCTCTCTCAGCCAAATTTAGCATTTTCCCTTCCCTCATAAAACGAGGATTAAATTGTTCTAAATCAGATCCTTGCTCTCTTGACTTTTGACAGATTTGTGAACGATCCTCTGCCACTGCAACCACTAAGTCAACCAATGTCACATGCATTCTAGCTCAACTGCACCAGCCTCAAAACTTTATCCCTCTTATTTAGTGAACAGACCAAAACGGTAGCTGCAAAATAAGGAAACAGACCTGGGATGGCTTCAACAGAAGATGTCAGTTGTCTCTGAAGTTCACTTCAGCTTTTCTACTCATTTCCTGTCAGCGCAATATATGATACCAGAGTTCCGTATTGCACCTCGTTCAACGAAATAATAACATTGCCCCATCCTCCATCTAGTTTGCTTCTTTAGAAGAGTTTTACTTCACTTTTTGTTTTTTGTTTCTATATAATATGCCACAGCGTGTGGGAGTTTTTTTGTTTTGTTTTGCCTTGGCTCCTTGGGGTTCACTGTTTTGCCACAGCTCCTTGGGGTTCACTAAGATTAAATAACAAACACACGGAAAGAATTAGGACTGAACAGGCATGTCTTTGGGTCAGTCTCATGCTAAAGACCTCAATATGCATGGATGCGATGAAACCCTTTTCAGTGCTGACTCATATACAGCACTGTATACAAAACTCTGCTCCCTGGCCACCAAGACAGGACCACACAAATGGGAATGCACACATGGACACACACAAACCATACCTTACTTCCAGCAAATCTCATTGGTATTTCCATAATTTTCTGCAGTCTGATCTGCTTTGTTGCTCAATAGAGTTGTCCTCATTTTCCAAATCTGTCTCAGTATGAAAATAGCTAATGGGACTTTTGAAAAAGACCTATTGCAACAGGAAGAATAAGCAACATTTTCAAAGAAAGTTATCTGTCATCTAACAAGATCTCTTTAGTTAAAATGTTAAGTCCAGTCTGGGTCACTTAAAAGAAAATTGGGCAAGGGTAAAACCCAGTTTAACAATATAAAAACACACCCTGGGATGTATTTTCTCTTCTGTTTCTATTCCTAAATCATGCAAATATGACACAATGTCATTGAAGCTACCCAATTTTTCTTTGAAGTACACCTCTACAGAATCATGTTATAAAATGCCTGGGACAGAATGGAGGAAAAATACAGAATAACAGAGTTGGAAGGGACCTTGGAAATCCCCTGCCCAAGCAGCAGACCCTCTACCATTCTAGGCAAGAGGCTGTCTAGTCTCTTCTTAAAAGCCTCCAGTGATGGAGCACCTACAACCTCTGAAGGCAAGCTGTTCCACTGGTTAATTGTTTTCACTGTTAGGAAAGTTCTCCTTAGTTCTAGGTTGCTTCTCTCTTTGTATAGTTTCCATCCAATAGCCATAAAATGATACCTCAAGAAATAAAGGGGTTGGGGGGAGGCCAGGCCTGAAAATAGCAAACAAAGCTGCAAACTCTCTGCAGAAATTTATGACCAGAAGTAGCAAGTGGTGTATTAACCCAGAATTTGTTAACCAATGCACTACCTAGTCATCTAACAATAGGCTAAGCAATACCTTAATGCAGGAGTGGGCAAATGTGGCTCTTTTACAACCTGTGGACTTCAACTCCCAGAATTCCTGAGCCAGCTTTAATGCCTTAATGCATTAGTTACCGTAATTCATATGTAAACTGCATTTGTAACAAACAAGACATATGTGTTTCTTTCTTTTCCCCTTTGAGACTTTGCTAAAACAGTTTAGGCTGCCTTCTCCATACAATTTTAACTTGCCTCATGTGAAGCTCCCAGGAGTATCTATTTGTAGTGTGTCTATGGAGTTCTCAGTCATCCATGTCATGGTTGTTCCAAAGGTGCTTGTTGAAAGGCAACTGGACTGTTTTCTCTTTTCTTTCTTTGAAGACATTTCGCTTCTCATCCAAGAAGCTTCTTCAGCTCTGATTTTAGATTGAATTAGATCTGAATTTAGAGCTGATTTAGAGCTGAAGAAGCTTCTTGGATGAAAGTGAAATGTCTTCAAAGAAAAAAAAATCAGAAAGTCCAGTTGCCTCTTGAAAAAGCACCTTTGGGACTATTTGTAGTATACACTCTTGTAAGCTTTTGTATTCTTTTTGTATTCTTTTGATATAAGGGGGATGGAGACATACAACCATTATTTCTCTGTGTTATTTTCCTTGAATTCAATCAGCTCCTATTCTGTAAGGCTACAGGAAATTATTACCAATTGAATTTTCTTAATTGATAGAAGTGGCCACTTACTTGTATTGCTGATAAAGTCATTGTATTTATGACTTTATCAGTAGTTTAATTTGGGGACTCTTATTGTTGGGAACTATAACTGTATCACTGATGTTTTATTGTTATGAATATAATCCACCAAGGGCAATTGCAGCAGCCCCTGCCCCCAAATCAAAGAAAACATTTCAATTGTACAAATAAGTAATATTCATATCCTATTAGGCTGGGCAGAAAAAAAGGTGTTTTTTTAAAAAAATGATGGGTTTAAAAGAATATATGCAATGCTAGTATATAAATGCTCAAACTTCATCTCCAAGTAAATTTATGTAATTTATGTAATTTATGTAAAAAGTAACGTGCATAGAAATGCATTTCATGACAGGAATAATCCATGCCTGTTTTATGGTGGGCTATGAACCATTTGGGAAAGGTTTGAGATCTTTTTAGTCTAATTATTCTTGAACAATATCTTATTTTAACATTCATTGTAAAAGATGCTATTGCAAAAAGATGGGAAACCCAGACGCATTGGAAGGTTGCAATGTTGTACCTGCTCCCAAAAATGGCTGCCCAGATAGCCATGTTCAGTCATATCATCTGACTAGACATCATGAACTATGCTTTCTCTCCTATGTTTTCTATAATTTATTTTATTATTCGAAACTCAGAAGAAATAAATCATGAGCTGGACCAGGCACACATGCACAGAAGTCTCACTTGGAAATTGGGCCTAAAAGCAAAGACCGCCAAAAGGCAGTCATTTCTGCTCAAACAACTATTTTTTTTCTGTAAAAATTCAAAATGATCTCTTTTGATTACCAGGAGAAAGCTGCTTACAATAGATCTCTGCAGCATAAAAGAAGCTGAAGGGAAGTTGAAGAGTTCAGGAAGTTTCTTGATGTTTGTTCAGAGACACTGCCTCGTTGTCTTGCGTTCGGCTTAAAATTGATCTAATTTTTACAAACTTGAATTAAAAATGTGAGTGCTCTTTGTTGACAATAACGGGACTTTTTTCCAGGGGAAATCTGCCAGCTGAAGCTGTTCAAGGTTTGGGCAGTGGAAGGAAGAAGCATTAGCACCAATCTGTAAACTGGACTCCATACCACGTCCAAAAATATAGTTTTCACTACTCCCTCATGGCTAAATGTCAGAGGTAAAATTTTGTCTCTTTTTACTATGAAAAATCCATCTTAAACATGATAGGGAAATGTAGGGAATAGGAGATTCAAAGCTGTTTCTCACAGCAAATAAAGTGGAATGTACAGTTTTAAGCCAAATTCATAGTAAATAAGATGATCAGGGTTGCACTGAGGAATTTTTCCAAATCTACCTGGACATGTCAATGATAGATTCTAGATCAGGGGGAGGCAGCTATGGTCTCTTTACAACCTGTGAACTTCAACTCCCAGAATTCCTGAGCCAGCATGGGAATTGAAATTTACAGGTCATAAAAGGTCCATAGTTGCCCATCCCTGATCTAGAACCTCCTGCATGCACTACTACTGAGTTACAACTCCTGGTAATTTATTAAATTTATTGGATATGAAATTTTAGACCTGACTGATAATCTATTTGTTGGCCCAAAGAAGCTAATGCTAACTTACAAGATGCCAAATATTGAATCATTGTTAGACTTTCTAGCTCAGTATTACATGCCTGAGCTAACATGCTGTGTTAAACCATGGCATATCAAACTATAGTTCATGAGAAGAACCTCAACTAACTAGGTTCACATAGTATGTTACTCCTAAAACCAGATGATGGCTTAGTGTGGTATAATATATGAACTCATTCAGTGAGTGGTAAGAGTCTTAATTATTTGTGGCTGCTGTTTTTTTAATTATGAGTCTTTCACCTCCTTTCACGAAATACCAATGACTGAAACTTGCTAGGTACAAAGGTAGAAAGGTTGCAAATTATTTATATGCCCTCTGCATAACCATTTTCATGTTCTGTGGTATTAACAGAGAATACAACCATCTGCCATTTAGCAAAAGGGTCCCCAGACATTTAAAAATTAGCTTCCATTACATAATGGGGAAAAACATCTATTGTGTACAATAATGAATTGGGAGATATTACCTTATCAAATGGGATTGTTATTTTGATATAGCCCCTTAGGGACTAAAAAGTGGCAGAAGTGGCAGTAGTGTCATTTTCCATTCCAGCTGTTTCATGATGACTATGATGGAACAAAAATAAATCTGCTTCAATTTCTAATAAAGTCTCCAGCTCTTATTATGAGCTCTTCATGGAATTATTAGAGCTTCCTCTTCAGCAGGTCATCCAAATGAGTTATTCAGGATGTGGTGGATGGTTGTTTAAAGAGACTAACAATAAACAGAACAAGAGACACATAGCCAAGCAGTGAACATGCATTCACACACTTCCTAGGCTGCAGTCTATGCATTTAGAGCTAAATGTAAGCTTCCTATGACACATTATCCATCTTTCCCTGACTGGCACACTAAGGATAGTGGGCCTATTCAAATCTGAACAAGCCATAATTGTTAAAGCTTATGATCACAATGAGGGTTAAAAGGGAAGAGTGGGTGGACCTACTTGGGCAGAAGGATTCTTATGTGATGCTACTCTTTGAGAAAAAGATGAGTCAGTGAAGACCATTGGACTCTGCCAAGTACTGCCTAGCCTTTGTGTCTCCAGTCAAAGGATGTCAATTCTGGAGATGACAAGGAACAACTAGAAGACTTGTTTTTCTCAACCAGATTGGTTATCCAGGGTAATAGTGCGAGCTGCACTGGCTTCCGGTGGTCTTCCGGGTGTGCTTCAAGGTGTTGGTGACTATCTTTAAAGCGCTCCATGGCTTAGGGCCTGGGTATCTATGAGACCGCCTTCTGCCGCCAATAGCCTCCCACTGGCCAGTACACTCGCACAGAGAGGGGCTCCTCAGGGTGCCGTCGGCCAGACAATATCAGCTGGCGACCCCCAGGGGGAGAGCCTTCTCTGTGGCGGCACCCGCCCTCTGGAACGACCTACCCCCAGAGATACACATGATCCCGGACCTCCGGACTTTTCGTCGGGCCCTTAAAACTCACTTATTTCATCTAGCTGGGCTGGCTTGATCCCATCTTTCGGTTTTAATTTGTAATTGATTTTATTGGGGTGTTTTTAAATTGTGGGCCGAAATTATTTAATATCTTTTTAAATTGTTTTAAATTTTGTATGCTGTGTTTTACCTTGGCTGTTCACCGCCCTGAGTCCTGTTGGAGAAGGGCGGTATAAAAATCAAATAAAATAAATAAAAATAAAAATACATACTGTTAATTGATGAAATTATTTTATACATGAGGTTCATAGATTGCACTAAGTCATTAATTGGTTTAACCAGAGTTTGTTGAACAAGCCAAAATGGCTGGGTTCACATATTATAAACCAGCCATTTCCTACCTAGGCAATTTCCAGACTGCCTGAACTTCAATTCTCCAAGTTGTCAGTAATGGCCAATCTATTTAAGGACTTGAGGTTCACAGCTGTAGAGGGAATCTAACTTGAAGAAAACTGTCCTAGACCATAACAGTCACTTAGTAACTAAATCATAAGTCGAGGAGTACCTGTAGTTGACTATCATTAAAAACAATAGCTTTGAGGACATGAGTTCAGAAATTT